AGCACCCACAGGCGTGCATCGTCGACCTACCCCTTTACCTTAACCCTCCGTGGGCCCACCACCTGATCCCCAACCCTCGTACCCGACAATTCCGGCACTTCCACCCTTACGGATACCTACCAACCCCTACACAGAAACGTATACCCACCCTTAAGCTGTAGACATAGAGGCAGGGGTACGCCGAGACAGAACGTAGCCAACTGGGTCAATACTGGTACTCCCTGCCCACCCCGTGTCCTTCGCAGCCCCTATTTTCACCAGCCCTGCAACGAACCTACACCTAGACCGCTTAGAGAAGCCGATGCCACCTAGTTGCACCAGTCTCTAAGGGATGATCGACGGGATGCGTGAACCACCCTGAAAGGCTACAAATGTACCCGATCCGCACCTGCCCCTATTTTTTCATCTCTTTCATCCCCTATTTTTTTATGACGGATCCCCTGTTGCCTTTCCTTCTTTTTTCTTTCCCCTCCACAAGACCGCCTTGACGATGAAAGGGCTTGACGCTGATGGAGTCTTCTCGAACGGTACTCGTTACTTCTCTTTGACCGGATAAAACTTGACACCAGGTATAATTATCTACGAGTATCTACATAAATGTTTTATCTAGGCGATTATCTTTTCGTAATAACTTCATCCACCCCTATTCTCCGTATACCTATGTACGTTGTAATAATTCACGTTTATTGGAATATAATGCCGGGTATGATCTTTATCGATCCGTCAGGAACCATCAGGATCCATAATGAGAATGACGAAGGAGGGGTCGTTGCGATTATGTAATGGAGGCCGTTTAAATAATTATCTAGATCCTGAATGAACTGAGTCCTTCGACTTCGCGTGCGTGACGAACTGTATTTCTATGATAATTTTTGTTTAGTTACGTCATAGCCATAGGTTACACGTATTCATATAGAAATATTTCGAGCAGATTTACGAAGCTCTTGGAGTCTAAGATTATTCATTTTTATCTATAATTTCATTGATTAACAATGTTTTTTTTTTTTTTTTTTTTTTTTTTTTTTTTTTTTTTTTTTTTTTTTTTTTTTTTTTTTTTTTTTTTTTCTCGAGCATCGCGTGGAATTAATTTTCACTGATCATTTATTCTATTTCTTTGATATCCCATGCGTTATGTATCTCAAGATAGTTTAATATCTTAGACTGAAGTACAGACTTTAGTGTAAGGAGCAGAGAACTTGCCACTAAAGGTCTTTAGGTCCAAGCAGTT